ATCATGTTTTGTAAGATAGGAGAGATCAATACCCTTAAGTGGTAAAGATCAAAAATTTAAAACCCAAACTCTGATGTAAGTGAAAATTCTATGAATTCAGCATAGGCCAATAGCAAAATTACATTAAACCTAAAAACACCAACCTTAAAAATAGAAGCTTCATGAGGCAGTCACAAGTGGAAGGTTTTTGTCTGGGAATCCCAGTAGCTATTCAAAGCTATGCAGGCATTCAAGCCAGTGGGCAGCACGGCCCGGCAGATGCTGAGATTGCTGCTGCCCTTGCTGCTCCTGAATGGCCAGAAGGCACAGTCCCCAGAGAGGAATGCCACTCCCGTATACGGTCACCTCTATGAAGGGAACTGGTATGGAATTGTGTCTGCTACTTCTATAGGCTCAAAGAATCGCTTGGTCTGACAAGCTTGGAGAGTGAAAGACTATGATTACTTGTAATTCTCAAGGGTGATGAACTTCACTCTCACCGCTAAAGAAGGCCTGGTTGATGCTTGAGACTTAAACACCACAGGTAATATAGAGCAGGAATAATAGTGTAGCCATTTTACACCAGTGGTAGAAAAAGAGATTAACATTATAAATGAAAAAAATAAACAACCCCATCGTATGTTGTGCAGTACGCTAAACTCGACATAGTTTCAGCATATGAGCTTATTTCTACATGGAAAAAAGTTTGCGTAACTTGTTTATCTCTGTTAATTGGTAAAACTAGATTCACAGCTGCTCCTATAAAATTGCTACAACTACAAAGAGCACAGGCATGCAGAGGCTCCAAGAGCTACAGGAAGAAAGGAGTATAGAAATACTCACTCTGTTAAGCTGTAGCAATTACAGCACATTTTTCTTCTTTATATTTGGTAATAATACGTGCCATTTGTTTTAAAAAATCTGTAAATATTTTTCATATAAGAGAATTATTTTGGCCCTTTTAACTGAACAAGAATGCTTTTCTCAGTGAAGCTCCCATTTTTGGCTATTAAAAACCAGTTAAAAGTACTTTCTGGGCCAGGCACGGTGGCTCATGCCTGCAATCCCAGCGCTTTAGGAAGCCGAGGTGGGTGGATCACTTGAGGTCAGGAGTTCAAGACCAGCCTGGCCGACATGGTGAAACCCAGTCTCTACTAAAAATACAAAAAATTAGCTGGGCTTGGTGGTACGTGCTTGCAATCCCAGCTGCTAGAAAGGCTGAGGCAAGAGAATCGCTTGAACCTGGGAGGTGGAGGTTGTG